GCTTTACAAGCCTTTTTAATGGAGGACCTTGTTCCACTTTAAAGACAAAAAAAATAGAAGACAATCTGAAGACAAACTCAAGTTCTCAAAACGAAATGTTTGGTATTTACCAGCACAAGCAGAGAGCATGAACCCTGACAGAATGACTGATAATAACCTCGGTCTTGCAATGTTCAGAATCCAGGACCAGACGAAACACGTGGGATTTGAGATGCGACAGTCTGGCAGCTTAACTGTCTGAGCTAATGTACTTAAAATAGGCATAAAAAGCTTTCCATAAAGAGAATAATGGCTTCACTTAAGGAGAAGGTGATTAATAATGTGCCATTTTGAAAAACAACAACAACAGTTTAGTTTTTCTGCCACTGCCTATAGCTATTTCACAGTGACCAAAGTATGTTTGGGGTGACCAAAAAATTTATTTTTAAAAATACATTTTAGGCCGTCTCCTTGAGCCTTTTCTCAACAGACAGAATAACTAAAGTCTTTACAGTGATCAATAACGCAAGCAATCATTAGCAGCAGCCTTGGGCTTTTCTTGTGTTTACCGTATATTTTATTAATGCTACAAAAAAGCTTCAGTTTGAGCTCTAATGGGCTGAAATGTCTTCTGGTTGCTGTTGGTCATCAGTCATTGTCTGTCAAGCTGAGTCCACTGAACTCTGTGAACCGACAGGTCCAATCAATCAACTAAAAGAAAACAGCCAATCAGTGTAAGAAAATGGTGACTTTTTGCCATTACTGATGACCCTTCCTCTCAGTTCACAACCTGTAAGCTTTTTATTGCCATAAATTGACTATTTTAGGAACAAATGCCATACATTTGATGGTTCACGCTAAGCATGTCGACTTGCTTCTGTCAGGTATGACTGTAAACAGAGTAATCTGGGAGTTTGGGCTTTTGGTAACAAAAGATAAACATGAATTATTGCTGTGAGACACTGTGAATGTCACAGCTTTTAAAAATCTCAATTCTTCTTTTTAGAGCAGAAGAATGACAGTTTCATTATCACCTATTCCACCCAGAGAAGATCTCACCAGGGCAGATGATGAACAACACTTCATAAAAACATTTTTAACGCGACAATAACTGATTATTTAAATAAGGAAGTGATTGTCAGGTTATCTGCAGCTCAAACAAAAATACCCATCACAACGTGTCAAGATTTCCTCTAACACAAATCTAGGAACAAATTTCATTTGTAAAAAGACATTTTTGCCATCTGACTCTATATTGAAGATATAAAGAATAACATGATACATAAATTTTTTGAATACATAAGCACAGCAAACGAGCCCTGTGGGCATGGCAAAAACCGTGTGTACAGTGGGTTCTTGCTACTATATAGATACCGTTCACGGTAATATCGATACAATGTTAGGCAATGATAAGAAAATCAAATATCGCGATAGAATATGGGTAAAACGCGCATGCGCAGTGCCTTTGTTTTCATGCGCACATGGCAGAAAGAGCATGGCGGCGACGGAGAATGAGAAGGGCGAAAGTGGATCGTTGAATGAAACGGATGATCCAGAATTTGTTTGTAAAAATGTTGCAACTTCAGTCGAACTGGTTTGGCTTTCGTCCGTCAGATACACACCAAAGCACATTTTTTGGTAGAGCATGCTAGCGGGCCGCCGTTATTACAGAACCGATTTAATTTGGTACGCGGCGCTTAAAAATCTGTCAAAAAAATGTTTCAGTACGACTTTGCTAAGCTACGAAGCCGCACAGCTTGATGGATTGTCGGAGCATTACAGCTACTGTAGCCTCGCGGAGTGATACGTACTGTGCTTCAACATAATGTTACCGTATTGTGTGTGTATAAGCTCTTTTAAGTTTAAAGTTGTGGAGTCTCACATGCATTATATCGTCAGTTATATAGTTATCGCAAATTTTCAAATATATATCGTGATAAATGTTTTTGGCCATATTGCCCTGCCCTAATACAGATTATAATTACTGAAAAGATGACCAACCACTTACATAACTAATAAATGACACTGCTTCTAAAAATGTCAACTTATCACCTGGTTTCAGTTTCTCTAATCTGAGGATTTACTACATTTCTTTTGTTGTATATAAAATCCTGAAATAATCATTTCAGCTTTTAGATTTTTGGCTTTTGGTTATGACAAAAGGAATAATATAAAGACCCACACCTGACAGCTATGAGCTAAAACCACACACTATTTATAAAAGACAGATGTAACCACTGTGGTTATCACTAATTGGGTTCTGGACTCTGCATTTTGCTCTTTGCTCGTTGACATTAGAACATGGATGATTTTGGACATTTACGTGGGGTCTGTGGGGATTGACTCACTTTTAGAGAAGCCTCAAGTGGTTGCTAGTGAAACTGCAGATTTTCTTGCCTCTTGGCTAAAACTCCAAACAGCACTGATCATCTCATAACAATTGCACATGTCCAGGTCTGCTACATTTTACACAACGAGTAAAGAGTCATTTGGAAGACGAGTACCTACTGACTGAAAGATGTACAAACCACATCCTCGGCACCTTCAGACATCAGTAAAGACCAGATGTCTACTTCAGTGATGCCACAAAAAGTATGGGTGAGATCAGTTTGAAATCATACAGAAATATTACTAAAGCTAAAGAGTTTTCATCCTCCCTCGGACTTATCCCTTTATCAGCCCTGGAAAGTGCTGACTCTTCCCCTCTCTGTGCTGGTTGTTGTTGGCCTTTCAGCTCCATCCTCAGTCATTCAGCTCACCGCCACTGATCTAATGTTAACGTGTGAACTGTTGTTCTTTAAATCTGCTCACTGAGAAGCAACAAAACCGGAGAGATTACTTCTGCCCCGTGAGCAGCTCGTCCCTCTGGAAATGTTTGCAGAAGTCAGACTGCATCACGCCAGCCGTCACGGCGCTGGAGTTCAGCGTCCTCTTGTGCGGCGGCCTCCGGCGAGGCTCGGCCGTCCGCTCCCACGGCGCTCACGGAGCTGTGCAGCACATCAAAGCAGCCGGCTTTAACCGGCTCGACCTACATCGCCTGCGAACACTGAGGCTTTGTCCCTGCGCGCTCAGCAGCGCATCACTGGGCGCTCTCCTTTACTGCCAAAGCATTTCGGCTGCTGCGATCCCCACGCAACAGAAGGCAGCGGTACACTCTTTGTCTGATTTAATCTCACATTCTCTAACCGTCTTCCTCCTGCCTGCCGAGGAGATGTGCATGGTTTTATTTTCACGTCTCCTCTGCAGGGCTGAACTAACAAATATTTCTGTGAAATAAAATATTATGGGCTGTGTGGTGCAGGCCATCCAGGAAGTTTATGCTGCAGCTTCTGTGAAAAGAAAATCTAGTGTTTTATTCACCATCTGTGTCTGAATGCTAGCGCTCAGGTTTATGTTTGTAGTTTGCTATGAAAGCTCACCAGGTTTAGCTGATGTATGCACTCTGCACTCTTATCTCAATATTCTGGCTCCAAATAAGTGTGAAGTCCAAAAATCTATGGCAGTGACTACATCCATGTTTTAAAGTCCTTGTTGTAACAACACAAACACTCAAAGCTCATTCACGTGGGGCTACTTTGTCAATGAAACCTTAAATAGTTTTATCAATACCCATAAGAGGTTTAATAACGCCCTGAATAAGGGTGTTGGTTGTGTTTGTGTTTGTCTGTACAAACATACAAACAAAACCAGAAAGAAGAAATCCTGTCATCTGAGAAGCTAAAAGCGACATGAAAGAAGCAGCTTGTAGCCCATGAGTGGATGAAGGTGTGGAACTGGCACTCAAGAACTCCTGCGCTCTGGACTTCAGGTTCCACAGGGGGCTTTCATCGTGCTTCGGACAGAAGAAGCTGAGACAAAAGAGACAATTTTAGGGATTCGATTGTCGCAAAATTCCTTTCTGCGACAGCACCACGAATCACCGCCACTTCCATTTCAATCATCTCCAAGTGCCAGCCAGCCGCTTCAGTGTTTCGTTTGCAAAAGGTGAGGGAGCGTGTCCTGTAAACCTTTAAGCGACCAATCAGCTTGAGTTAGCAGCACGCTAGCGTTTTACAGGTAAAATCAGCGTCACCAAAAGTGTCCCTTTGTTTATATTTGGACATATGATTGAGGCTATGCTTGTGAAAGTAGGCGTAAATTATTTTTTAAGCAGTTTGGCGTCTCGTGTTGAGCTGCAGCCAATTATATATCCACTACTAGTAACAAGACGTGGCTATTAATCCCACAAAGTTTCAGATTCCTCTAAACTCGATGGATTTATGGGAGCCAGAGCGAGGCGATGAAGGAGCCCTCAGCAGGGAGGATGCAGACAAAAAATAAACTTTGCACGAAAATACCGATAAGCATCAGCATCAAAGTCAACACACTGGTGAACCTTTGTCATCTGAGATGCTGAATTCTTAGGGTTTAGCAAGCCTGTCCAATTTTTGCATGAAAAAAAAAAAAATCTAAAATGTCAGAACCAGAACCACGTCTGATGATTAATCACCTTCCATTAACACCATAAATCCCCATGTCTGTATCCCTGATGCAGATCTGGAGTCAGTAACACTGTTTACAGACACTCAGACATAAAAACTGCAGCACAAAGAGATCAACTATGGATGTGATCTGCAGACACAAAGCGTGCATGCATTATATCCATGACAGCGTGCAGCACATGAGCATGTCTGTGGCGAGAAATCTGCTCTGTAAATGTAGAGGGAGGAAAGTCAATACCAGAGATTGTAGCTCTGAGACAATAGCTTCACAGCAGCTCTATTGTTCTGCTCAGGTTGGGTGAACTTTGTTTTAGATTTACAGCTGTATATTTAGAATACATTGTTTTCAGAGTGCAAAGCCCAATATAGTGCCCGTGCATAGACACACAACAGCCGTGGAGTATTGTGCTTTTGCCTCAGAGCAGTGAGGCATCACTTTCAAGCTGAATCTGAGCTTTAAATGCTTGAAAAGACACACCGAGCAGCGTTTCGTAAGCTGTTAACTGGTTTTACTGGGAGAAAAACGAAATCTTCTCCTACCGTTGACAAAGTGCTGGAAGCTGTCAGTCCATTCAGACAACGTTCGGATCCTTCAGCGACTCAGGAGACCGGCTGGGAGTGAAGGCTCTGCGGGGACCGGCTGCTGTCTGTCACCGTGCATCCGCCGTGGTCTGTCTCCCGAGCCCCTCTCTATTGTCTCCGCACTCGGCCGGCGGCCCCGCCCACCGCCTCTGACCTCCAATCAGAGCACAGAGCGTCAGTGACGCCTTCCCGGATTGCAGGAATTTACACGTTAGACCGAATTAAAATTCAGATGTAAAACTGTCAACAGTAGTGGTTTACAATACTGCAAATTTTTGTATAAATCGCCGATACCATTATCAATACGTTTAACCTATAAAGGCACTTTTTACAGACCACTAAATCAGTGAGATTTGTATTTTCCATAATAATTAGTTAATAGAATAAAACAACATTTCAGCTTTTCATCTATTTTGAAACTGTTTTTTGGAGACCTGGAATGTGCCTGTCTCTAAAACACTTGGGTCAACTTCTGTTAATGAAATGTGCTATAGGCTATAAATAAAATACATATGGTGGGTAGCACAAAAAAGTTCAGACATTTTATAGTGCATGTTTAAGCTATATTTTTTTAAATGTAATTTTAAAATATTTTTAAAACTAAAAATATATATTTATTGCAATTTTGTGTGCTACATACTGAACTTTTAGCATAAAAACAAACTATCCATCCTATTGTCAGTCATCCAGGTCATTGTAGTTTGAGGAGAAAGGCATCTGGACCTCTTTAAGTTTCTTGAAGACATTTCACCTCTTGTCCAAGAAGCTTCTTCAGTTCCGGGAGAAATTGGTGGAGAGTCCCAGATTTTTAAGCGGAGTGGCCCTAATCATGAAAATGCACAGAAAATAAGATCAGACACTAACTAGGGAGAATCAGAAGGACAAACGGAACAATGTTGTCATCCCTTATGTAGTGGTTTATCAGAGAAACTCAGGAGAGTCTTCTTCAAACACGACATCCCAGTCTACTTCAGACCCAGCCACACAATCAGACAAAAACTGGTTCATCCCCAATACAAAACTCGCAAAAACAAACTTAACAACGTAGTGTATGCTGTACAGGGTAGTGAGGAGTGCTCAGGCTTCTACATTAGAGAGTCCAAACAGCCACTTAGAAGAGCCACCTCGACACGACAAGGCTCAGCTGTATATCTGCATCTGAAGGACAAAGGTCACTCTTTCGAGGATGCCACTGTTCACAGAAAGAAGCCATTTATGTCCACTGTGAACGACCATCTTTGAACAGAGGGGGCGGTTTACGACACCAACTGTCTGTATCTATAATCCAGTTTTGAGATTTGATCTTAGTAAGTCACATAATAGGGTGGGGCTAGGTCTCACAATGGGTTCACCTGAAACCTTGGCTGGTTGTGACCCACACCCGTTTTCACACCTTGGCTCGTGTGGTTAGGTAGTGGAACAATAGGGGGTCCACAATCCTCTTAGGGACACTCCCAAAAGGACTTAAAAATCTGGTAGCTCAGCTACCAGCAAAGACTCCACACAGAAGTCTAAATCAAGCTGCAAACGCAACTACTAATTATGTTTCCACCAGAGGGCGCTATAGCCGCGGCACGTAATACATCAGTGTTAGCTACAAAAATGAGCTGAGATGAATACTTATTTTAAAAAATCGAATTTAGACGCTCAAAAATTGGCTTCCAGTTTATCCCACGTCCATGAATGCAGCACGAAAGGAAAGCAGAGCAGGCGTTAGCACGGAGAAACGTGCAGCTGTGGCTCAGATGCAGTTTGAAATTAATGAGGGTTAGGGTTAGGGTTATGAATAGGTGTGAGTATCGGCTTGTGCTTTTATTACCTCCTTCAGACAGAAAAAGGTTAAAGAAAACAGCCTGTCGAGAAGATATCAACGAGACTTAAGTGTGCTTTTAAAAAAGTAATGACTCGTTGATGGTGTTTAGATGTTTTATTTCTGCAGTGGGAAATGTAAGTGAATGATCATGGAAATTTTTCTTTCGTTTGTTGTGGTAAAGGCTGTAAAAACAGCTACTCTTGACCTGATCAGGCTCTCTGTGGGCTACAGTCAGCTGTTAGTGCAGGGTAATTGGAGGATTTAAAAAATATTCAAAATGCAAAAAAAACCCTAAACTGGCGTTTTAAAATCCAAAATCAATCACCAGAGAACGATGCTGTCTATTAGGAGTCAGTAATATTCATCACAGTCCTTTGTATGATGTTGTGAAGTGTGTTAAAGGAAGACCACAGCTTTGCAAATGTAATCACACGTGTATAAGAAAAACGTGACAGTAAAAAAGCAAATTACTCCAGGGTGAATTAAGGCCTAGTTAATCACTAAATGACATGTACTTAAATTAACACAACAGGAGAAAATGTGGCTTCCATGTGCTCTTTGATTCAAAGGTTTATGTCTTTAAAGCCAAATTTGAAGATCACATTCAAAATCAACCAAAGAAGCTGGTCTCAAAAAGTGATTCAAGGTGAAATCACAGGCTAAACTCACTAAACATGATTATATTATAAAACTGTTTGGTTAGAAGATGAGGCTGGTATCAAAATCTTTATATGCTACACGGTAATGTGTTTTGACCACCTACCCTACCTACCATACATGATGCACTTTTTGAAGTTGTCTCCAATCAATTATGGAAAAACCAATGTTTGTTGTTGTTCCTCTACATCATGGACATTATTGAAACCATGGTAACATTCACACATACACAGGACTTTATTAAAAGTGAGATTGTTAAAAATATCCCGATTCAAATAAAAATGCAAAGAAAAAAACTAACTGTGAGGAAATGTTGGACAACCAAATGCCAACAAACAACAACAGCACACAGTCTGACATAAAAATGAAAATAATGGTCATCACGTTGACGTTGGGAGACAAAATCTCAGATTTAAACACTGAGTTAAACACTGGCATAAGCTGTGGTAAAAGCACAGTTTTCATACAATCAAAATGCTGTTTACGTGTGTACAAAATGCATTTAAATCTACATTTACCAAAATACCCATGTATGTGTGGACATGATATATCCCATGATACTGTTCAAAATTTGTCTGCTGATAAAGAGACACAATCTGACGCAAGAATCTTTTTTTTAAGTTGGAGTAAAAACTGATCATCAGAGCTTAAATGTATTTTTTAGCCTTGTAAAGGTCACGTGGATTTCTTTTCTTGATACAAAGTGCGATAAAAAGCACCAAATTTCAACCCACCCTGTGTACTTTGAGGGCGTGTAACTCAGAAATGAGTCCTGGAACGAAGGTAAAATCTTTGCATGACATCATTGAATCGAAGCTGCAGTTCTGAGGCAGTCGGGTGGGAGGGACTGATTGATTTTTGGAGTGACCCTCAAAACATCAGGAAACTATAATTATTCGTCAATGTCAGACGTCTCCATTTGGACACAAAAGAAAGCTGTAAGAGCATCACCACGACCGCTCTCACCTGCGACGGCACGCTCGCTGGGTGAGATGAAGTCAGACGATAATTTTAATTCACGGCCTCCTGACTCATCGGCTGTGTCACCGCAGCAGATTGCTATTCTGCAGGCAGAGGGAATAGTGTCTGGGGGGAGACGGGTGACTCGAAAGCCAGGGAGAAGCAAAAACAGTGTTGATGGAAAAGAACATTGATTTTTTTTTCCTTTTCTTTTGCACTGTGCTGTCACTGCTGAGATAATCCCAGAGCTGATTATTCAACCGTCAACATGTCAGTGCTGTGTATCCAACAGCTTCTCTTAGCAGCCCATGTCGTAAATTTACCCCTCACTTTTTAAATCTTGCTATATGAGAAAAACTAGCTGCTCTCCTCGCTCCCTGGGATGGGAACGGTTGTAAAAGCTGACAAGCTGACGATGCTTTAAATCAGATGACAAATCCCTGAAGACGAGGATGGGAAGAGGAGAGGAAATTTCTCCATGGACCGCTGTGACCTCGCAGTAAGTAATCTCAGAAGTGTGAAGGTGTGAGGACATGTTCAAAGACAGGGTCCATTACACCATTAAAGATATAGTACAGCATTTCAGGAGCTACTTTTCCATCACAAAGTGGATCCTTATGCTGTTTTTTATTGTAAAAATGGTGGATTCCCATTAAACATGGCCAGATTTTTCAATAATGAGGGCAGCATATGCACATGTAATCTCTGTGAGTGGAAAGCTCAGGCTTCAAATAGCTCTAAACACTCGGTTTCTAACAGTTTATTCTACTTGGTGCTCTCTGTGAGGTCATAAAGAGAGGTTAATCTGAATATGGTTTCATGCACAGAAGCCCCACCCACCTGCTGTTTAAACCTAAGAAATTTGTCTTAAAGGGGGAGGAGCAACAGCTTGGGGCTGCACCAAGGTCCCATAAGATGAATACAGATTATTTTGAACTTTGACTTAACCAAAGGTACTCCAGTGTAGTACGGGAATAAATATATAAGAGCTGGAAAAGTGCTGAGTGATGCTAACCCTTACTCAAACTCTGTTTAATTTAAGTTTCAAGAAAATATTCTCTAATGTCTTGGCAATTTCAGAGCTAAAAGCGACCCAGCCTAAAAAATTATTTACATTTTTCCTCAAACAATGCTTTTCTGCAAAGTAAAGGGTGAACAGGTAGGGTTATTTGTCATTACTGACAAATACTTCAAGTCTTTAACCTGCCAGCTCTGCAGCATGAAGTCCACGTGATGTCCGACTGAGCCCACATGTCATTGTCTGGTGCATTCAGAGTGAGCGAGTGGGCGTCCTGTGTCCTACCTCCTCCACGCTCCAGCAGCAGCCACACTGAATCCAAACAGTCTTTCCAATACCGACAACATGAACAGTCTTAATACCATATCATCGTAATATAACATCTTTGTTTGCTACAGCCCGGATAAATATTAATTCTCTCATTTACTGGCAGCATCGTTAAAAACAGGTACAAGGCAGGATCATGAAGAGCAAACAGAGGATAAAATGAAATCCTACTCCTACTAATTCACATTTAATTCTGAGTTGGACTCTTCTATAACAGCGTCTGCACGAATTCAAGCGTATCCCTGTAAAACCGATTCATGTTTCTCATCTCACTGCAGTTACAAAAATAGTATAAAAACAGAAATCACACCAATAAGTAGGAAACACA